ATGGGAACGAGTAGAAAGAGAAACTACTTTAGAGGGAGGTACCTAAGAATGAATTCCTAAGAAACGAATACAAGTAATGACTTTCCTCTCGCACGATGGGCATGTACATCGCAAAGTACCGCATTTGTACCAACAAATTTCGTTGGTTGTATATATGTCCGCGTAGGAAAAATGGTACACATGAGAACGTTCAAAGACCATCAAACAAATCCAAGCAGCGACTTCTCCTTTATGCGCGACGTTAGTACGAATCTCGAATCCTGTGTTCCCACTGAATTTGCACTCGGCGTTCGTCGTTTTATTCGAGGGGTGTGAAAGGAACGCGTACGTCACGCGTCGCGGAAAGAACATTATTCCTCCCACGTGAACCGTGAATTGTGCAGCTCGAACGAGTTTCGTGTCGGTATTAATTGAACTTTGCTCGATAAGGATTGCGGCTCGGTATCGAAGCCGCGATTTCGTGCACAGGGAAATCCTCGGCGCGTTAAGATCCTCCGCCGAGACAACGATCCTTTTTCGCCGCGAGTTTCGTTCGGTGTGTCGCGTTCACGCTATGCGATAATTAGGAAACGATTAATTCTGCTCGGCGTAACGCGTCGTTACAAACGGGACCCGCTACAGCTTGTTCCTATCTGATGAACAAAAACATATTGCCTGGCGCACGAACCCTGTCCAACCGGGAAAGAAAATAGTTAACAGCGCGCGGAACGAAACGTTAAAAGCCGCTCGGCCGGACGAACGACGGTAGCAATTGGAGTGCGAGCTGATACGGCAATTAATTGCTTTTCGCTTTGATCCGTGCGACTACGCTCGAAACAGATCCCTCCGATATGGCCGAATCGCTGTTTATGGAAACTGTTTTTCACGCGAAGGGCCACGTCGATTCCGGGGGTAACGAGTGTCGGGTATATCGAAGGGATACTTTTGAAACGGGATATATTCTGAACGTACATCTTTCCCTTTGTTAGAGCCAAGTAAAATTGGAGGTGGAAAGGAACTGCTGTGAAATTACAGCAAATCGAAGAAGAAATTCCCTGGAAGATACCGAACGTTAAATATCTAACGCGTAGGGGGGACTCGTTGAAACGAACTTTATGCTACATCGCGGATAGCGTGTATAAAAATGACGCGTACATATTCGAATACGCAGATATCGAAATTCGCGACCAGGAAAATTAGAACTAGAAATTAGAATCGGTGATTTGAAAGTATGGCGTGCAACAATTTTGATCACGAGTCCGACTCGTGATTTTGAAATTTGCCACGAAAGTTTCATCGCGAGCCCGATTCGTGATTTTCATGTTCGATTCAAAGATGTTCACAGCGAGTCGGACGCAGCGAATCTCCAGCAATAATGCTTCGTTGGATTTACTTTCTTTGGAACTCGATGCGCCGAAGTAAAGAAGAATATACATGTCGAGTAGAGCAACCTGTTCCTTTACGAGGTCGGTTGATAGAACGACAATCGGGCCGCCGTCTTCGAAGTCAATATAATCTCAGAATTCATGGCGGTAGAATGCTGAAGAGAGCATCTCGAGTAGGTAGAGCAGACGCCAGAAAAGAAAGTTCCCGAGCGCAAATAATTTCTATTCACCGTTGAATCACGGCAAGCGGGCTCCCGATTGTGATTTTTCCGAAAGCGTCCATTATCCCCGCCCTTGAAGGGTGGCCGAGAGCGGAGGAAGGACGGAGGGGTGGCGATCGTTACCTACGGTGTCGAGGTGTATGATAGTCACGGCATACGTGATCGGGACGCGTGAGCGAACTGCCAAGGCACGCGCCGTCCCGGGGCACGTAATTATCATAGGGAAGTTAGGGTCGCCCTCAGACACACGGGCGCACGGGGGGGTCCAAGGGTCGCTCGGGTCAGGAAGTCACGCGAGACGCGGGGGTAGGAGGCGAGGGAGTCACTTTTATTGTTCTACCAGTTGTCTTAGAGTCCGGGACTTTTCCTGGCCACTGGGCAGACCTCGCTGAAAACGGAGGTCGATATCTCGCTTAGACGACTGCCGAGCTTTTACGGACGGAACCCACCCTTGTACAAGGGCTGTTTCTTTCGCGTAACTCACCGCGCCGTTCGCGTGCTCCCGCGATTAGCCTCGATTGCCTCGCGATTTTTGCGGACACTACAGATGGCACGTTGGTGGATGGATCGACATTTCGAACGTTGGATCTTCGCTTTTTTAACCAACATCTTTTTTTTTTCTACGCGGAGGAACATCACCAGGCCCGAAATCTACCGTCTAGGTTTACTAGGTTAATCTACTGGGATAGGTTTTAGCCGGGTATATCGAATACTTTTCTTGTACATATTGTCTGCACGGAAATACTGTCTAAATAGGTTCGGGGTAGTTTTTGGTAGAGGCGGTGATATCGAATACTGTTAATATATATACCGTCTGAGTTGATTTGGGTTAGGTTTTAGTGGGCTGGCAATATTGGATACCGTTGATGTAGATATTGTCTACACGGAAATACTGTCTGAGTAAGTTTTTGGTAGTTGTTGGTGGGGAATATTGAACGAACTGGATTCATTGGAACATTTGAACATTTGAACATTGGAACCCTTGTTTCAAAGAAGAATAAATGACGTGTGCAGGGTATTTTACCATAATTCATAGAGTTAAATCTAGAGTACAACTTCCCACGTATTTATCACAAGAGAATGGCTAGTCCACCGAAGAGACTTTCGAAAACTTTTACGTCGTCCGGTTCCCGATTGGAAAACAATGACCGAGACACGACGCGCACGTGTGAACCGGATCGTCGATTCCCTCTTTGATAGTCGATCCGTGGTGATTGTAATCTAACGAGGCTTCACGACCGCAAGCCGTTTACACCGAGCCGCCCCAGGGTGAAAGCTCTCTGATCTCTAATGATTATGTCAGCGCGCGTTCCCTCTGCTCAGCCACCTTCGAACGCACCAGTGATATTAGCGACGACACTCCATTAATAGTAAATAGTTCAAACAAATCGGTAGCTTTGCTTGGTGGTTCTTTGAAGAACAACGGAAATTAATTTCGAAAACGGGGCGTTGACAAAAATAAATCTGAGCCAGGATTTATGATAGATTATGTTGGAATCGTTCGAAAACAAACTTTGAATGCGAAGTAATGATGGGATGTGGTCCATCAAGATCTACGTTTCAACTTCATGAACTCGTCTGATTAATCTCGACTAGTTCTACTCCGAGTCTGACTAAACACGTGCCTCGTTCTACTTGCCCGAGTCATCCATTTCCTTCGTCTGATTAATCTCGACTAGTTCTACTCCAAGTCTGACTAAACACGTGTCTCATTCTACTTGCCCGAGTCATCCATTTCCTTCGTCTGATTAATCTCGACTGGTTCTACTCCGAGTCTGACTAAACACGTGTCTGAGTCTACTTGCCCGAGTCATCCATTTCCTTCGTCTGATTAATCTCGACTTGTTCTACTTCGAATCTGACTAAACACGTGCCTCATTCTACTTGCCCGAGTCATCCATTTCCTTCGTCTGATTAATCTCGACTTCTTCTACTCCGAATCTGACTAAACACGTGTCTCATTCTACTTGCCCGAGTCATCCATTTCCTTCGTCTGATTAATCTCGACTTCTTCCACTCCGAGTCCGACTAACAAGTCCCATTCTACTTGAATCTATTCAATAATAAAAATACTAGGAAGGATAATACGTTTAATTAAAACGTGTCCAACACCCCGTCCCCGATCAGACCGACCGAATTCATTGAATAACTCAAACTCTGATCTGTAAACTCTGTCGTACTTGTACAACATCACGCCGGGTCCTCGAGCTCGACGAGTCATAGAATTAATTTTCCTTTTCCCCGGAGAATAGCATAACCCGAACCACCCCGTCACCGTCGTTTAATTGAAACGAGGCCACCGGCACGGTGGTCGGTCTGCAATCGTCATCGTGACGCGATCCCCGTGCACGTCCTCGCCTCATCCTCGGATCGGTCCCCGAAGGCTCGACGAGTCAAAGCGTTAATTCGCCCTTTGCCAGGCGATCCATGGCGGCGCGGTTGTAACCTGGCCAGGCCATCGAGGCCAGAAGCCGTTTATAACAACCTGCCCGCGGGCAGGGCTCTCTGATCTCCGCGAGATGATTGTGCCAGCGTCGACTCCGCCGTCCCGGCAGTAGGAGGTTTGGGGGGGGGGGGTGGTGGGGCACGGTCTCTGTTCGGTGTTGCCGTGCGGCCAAGCGTCTCTACACAGCCCCCGGGGCTTGCTCTCTCTCGACGACAAAGGGGCCGCGGTTCAACGCGCCACAAAGCGCCGGGACGCCCACACCCGCAACCTCCTACCCCTATCCCGCCGACACCCGCGGCACCGCGCGCCCCGAGTCCGCCCGTAGACGCGCGCACACAAAGCCGTTCCCGTTTCGAAGCGAGCCAGGGTGTCGCGACGCGTGAACTTGCACCCAACGGCGGCCGCGAGCCACCCTTTCGTTCGGCGTGGTTCCGTGTAGCGAATCGACGAACGACGAAGGAAAATTTTCAGCCCCGACGGGGCGGAGGTGGATTCGCGAAGGGTGGAAGAAGAAGCGGTTCGAATCCTAGCGCCCGATAAGACGGCCGCGAGGATCGATTCGAAAGTGTTCTGACGTTCCTCGATGGGTGTTCTTACGGGTGGGGGCGACCGGTCCAGGAAACCGAGAATGGTATCGTGCCGGGAGCGGATTTTGTTTTCGAGTTTCGCGAAGCTTAACTCGCGAAGCTTAACGACGAGGTTATGGGTGAGAGGGGGGTGGTATCGAATCCGTGGAGGGGTGGCAGCGGTGGGGATAGTCATGTTGGATTTATTCCAGTCAATCCTGTTTCGCACTTATCCAGTCTTTACCGTGTATCGAAAGGTTCGTATTCGGGAGGAATATCTAGAAGCTTATTGCGAAGGATGTCGCCGAGAAAAGAGTCGCACGAGTCGCTCCGCGATTCGAAATTAAGGGAAATAAGTGGTGGTTGAGTGGATGGAGTTGCCGAACAGGTCGTAGAAACTTACCCTGTCCAGGAGCCGGCGACGTGGCGTGGCTCCAGCCCCCTTTGTACGAGCTGCTGGCATCTGCAACAGAAAAGAAGAGATACTTTTAGTATATTTATGCTTATACTTTATGCTAAATGATACTTATTAAATTATTTACACTAAAGTGTATTTTATAAGTATCAAAGGGTAAATAACGTACTATTGGTATATTTATGGTTGCACTTTATACAAATTATGCTTATTGAGTTATTTATATTAAAGTATAATTAACAAGTATCCAAGTATACAAGTGTCAGCAATTATAAGTATCGTGCACATTAGAAAAATAAACAGTGAAAAATATTCCACGATTACTCGAACGACGTACAGTAATAGTAATCGTCAACTTCTTCCTCGCGAAACAATTAAAAAAATGTATCTGTAACGCGTAAATTAAAGATAGACAGGTGTCTCGATAAACGGAGTAAATAAATTACTATAGGATGTCGCCAATGTCGTAAATTAAACGCGTAAATTGAAGGTAGACAGGTGTCTCGATGAACGGAGTAAATAAATTACTGTAGGATGTCGCCGTGTCGTCTTCGACAAAATAAAAATGAAATTTTGCTGAACTCGCGATTCGACATCGATCGAGCCTAACGAAAGAGCCTTTACGCGTCGTACTCGGCGATCCTCGTGGAAAGATTACGCTCTTTTTAGGTCACGTTATTAGAAGACGTATACAGTCTGCAATTGCAAGTTAATCAGTTCTCGGGAATCGCCCCGCGGGGGTCGTAAAATATATCTGATCGCCGGTTTTGAAGTAGTCTGTTGGGCCCCCGGTCAGAGTGGGAGGGAGGGAAACAATCCCATCGGGAAAATCTTTACGACGCCTTAATGACGCCGGGTCTGCGTGACGTGGCTTCAAAATACGAATCAGAGAGCGAACGAGTTGCGTTGTTCGAACCCTTTCTTTCCCTCGAAATTATAATCTTTCCGATCGTCCAGTTGGAAATGAAACGAAGGGACGGCCGAAGGCGAGTAGATGGAAGATTGCGACGGTAATGGTGGAAAGATGACGCAAAGACGAGATTTTTACTCTTCGAGTTATTACTTTTAAGTTATCGCGGCAGTAGTTTCGAGTTGTTGTAGTTTTTAGATTTTCCTGTTGATATCTTTATTTTGTGGTACTGGACAGTTGCATGACGTACAAGTGGAACGGTTATTGTGTCATCGAATTTTTGGTTAGATGTATCTTTCATGATACGTTTATGATTTCACTTGCTTTGCGGTAAGTTTGGTAGTTATTGAAGATGTTTAAGACCATCTTCGATAGTAAACGTATTGCATTTAAAACGCTCCGAAACCACTTGCAATATTTCCAAGAGCAAGGAGAAACCCACCAAAAAGCAACTAACAATTTCGATTCGAAAATCCTTGGAAGCCCGATTTTATAAATTAAATTCGAAACAAATATCAACGTATTTATTACCCGAACAATTTTTCGAAGCTGAGGTTTATTCTTTTAACTTTCGTTCAAGAGAACGTTACGCAATGGTAACACACGTAGAGCCAAATATTAAAACCAAAGCAATTGAAAGCGCAACAAACCAATTGCAATTCGATTTAAAAATCCGCCATCGTGTTTGAAACTTCTATCTTCTATTGAAGCTATCTAGATTTGAGAATAAGGTCACCTTTGCCGCACCGACAATTATTTCATCGACACTTCGAGTTCCAATGAAACGAAACCTAAAGAAACATTAGATATCGTAGATTCGGTGCGCGAAACCTAACGGCGACCGAGAGTCGCCTCTCGAGTGCAAAGGGTTAACGAACTCCGTAAGTAGAATTGGCGAGAAATGGTCAGACACGAACGAGTTGTATTGTGCCCTGGACGATATTTACGAACTCCGTAAGTAGAATTGGCGAGAAATGGTCGGACGTGAACGAATTGTATTGTACCCCAATATTAACCCTTTGCACTCGAGACCTTTTTTTTTTAGTACCTACCAGCAACTCGAGATGCTTTCTTATCATTCTACTGCCACGAATTCTAAGCTATCTAGATTTGAGAATCAGGTCAGCTTCGTCGCACCGACAATCACTTTATCGACACTTCGAGCGCCAAAGAAATTAAACCTAAATTAATTATAAATAATTGCCGATAGACTTGCCGCGTGAGACCTAACGGTGACTGAGAGTCATCTCTCGAGTGCAAAGGGTTGAAGCGTGTTCTAAAAATTTGATTCCATTTCAACGTCCAACTTTCAACTTTCAACTTTCAACTTCCTCGACTCACAACTCGTCGCCCCTTCGGACCACCTCGATTAACCACGCTTTCCTCTGTTATTTCTGAGCGTTATAAAAAAAAAAAGAAAAAAAAAAAATACTCGCGCGACATTTCCCACGTTTGATCTCAATTTCGCGCCAAGGGGTATTGCTTTCGGAGAAGCGTCGCGTTCGTGGATCTCGGGGCGCTGTCTCCGGCGCCGTCGGTGTGTTTGCAGACAGATATATTTTCATTTGGCAGTTATTGGCACGAGGGTTGGCTCCGGTGTGTACACACGCCGCGGCAGTACGTCATGCCGCTGCAGAAACTCCGTCTTTCTGTGCAAACAACGACTCCGGTGTACGGGAACGGGCCGACCTATCGTCTTCGCCTCCCTTCATTTGATCTGGAGACCGGAGTCCATTAATGGAGCCTCGAGTTTCACGTTCCACGGATGGAGTCGCGAATTACTGGATCTATCACGAGAATCGAGAGACTGGGGGAGACGAAAGATTCGTTGACGGATGTTCTGCGTTGAATTTTAGCGGAGGTTGTGCGTACGGCGATTTTAGAATGGGATTGGTGGATTGTGAGAAGAAGAGATTGGTGTGAAGGTGGTTTTAGAAGGTGGAGGTTATTCAAGGATCCGAGATTGAAGAGAAAAGCATGGGTCGGTTTGAAAGTAGTCTAGTAGAACCTTTGGGATGGTTGTGATTGGTGGATATCGAGAAAAGGAGATTGGTGAGAAAGTGGTTTTAGAAGGTGGAGGTTATTCAAGGATCCGAGATTGAAAAGAAAAGCATGGGTCGGTTAGTCTAGTAGAACCTTTAGGATGGTTGTGATTGGTGGATATCGAGAAAAGGAGATTGGTGAGAAAGTGGTTTTAGAAGGTGGAGGTTATTCAAGGATCCGAGATTGAAGAGAAAAGCATGGGTCGGTTGGAAGTAGTCTAGTAGAACCTTTGGGATGGTTGTGATTGGTGGATATCGAGAAAAGGAGATTGGTGAGAAAGTGGTTTTAGAAGGTGGAGGTTATTCAAGGATCCGAGATTGAAGAGAAAAGCATGGGTCGGTTAGAAACCTTAATCCGGGGTTTCATGGTTAACTCTTTGCACTCGAGATTTGCTAAGCTTAGATTAACATCGAAAATGATATCCTTAATTTGAGATTTGAGAATCGGGTCACCTTTGCCTCAACGACAATCACAATTTTATTGACACTTCGAGTTCCAAAGAAATTAGACCTAAAGGGAACCTAGTGGTGACTGAGAGTCGCCTCTCGAGTCACCATTCGAGTCACCTTCTCTTAACAGAGAAGAGGATTACGAACTGAAAATGATTTTAGAAAGAAGAGGTCTAGCGAACTCACGAAGCCAACGAAACAACGAGTTGCTGAAATAACTCAGGATTAATCCAAGCCCGACTTTTGAGTGAGACTCTTGAAAAATAAGAAGAGGATGTTACGAGAAGAGGTCTAGGCGAGAGGACGATACACGAGAGTATTGGGATTTAAGGGTCTTGGCACATTGACTCCTCAGCGACGAGGAAGATCCGCGTGAATCGAGTTACTGGTAACTCGATGTTATTCGGAATAATCCCACTCCTGTATGAAGTCTCACTAGAGATTGCAACCTTAACCTTTTATCGATATTATGGAATTCTTTTCGTGATTATTTGTACACACATCAAATACTTGGACACGTCCACGACACATGATCTGCACCTATAAAGATCACTCGTATTCGTACCACTCGCCAGTACATCAAATTGTACTGCAATACACGTCCATAATTCATCAACAGCCTTGGTACCGCCAACTATTCAAAGTTGAAAGAGTAACTTTGGTAGAATTGGGATAAGAATCTTAAAATAAGGGCCCAAAGACTTTAGACCACAGGATGCCAAGAAATCAATCTAAGATGCTAGAATACCGAGCTTTTAAGGCCTTCGAACTTCAAAGCCTCGATTACTTACTGAAACGTAGGTCCCAAAAATGAAGGATTTCTAACAGATTGAACCGGAGTAAGAATCTCAAGATAACTTCACGAGATAACTTCTCAAGACTTCAGACTACAGGATGTCACGAAATCAATCTGAGATGCTCCGATCAATCTAAGATGCTTAAACTTTGAAGGTCTTAGAACTCGAAAGCCCCGGTACCCAAAAGTATATCCCAAAAATCGAAGATATCGATACCACCGTCTCCTAAATAACCAATTGTGGTCCCTCGTTTCGGACCCATGGATCGTGAACTCTAGAAGACGCCATAAAATTGTTCCACGAGATTCTGCAGACCCTGAAACCACCTGGAGCCAGTCCACGTGGATCGTACACCCTTGGAGCATCGAAACCAAGCGACGGGAACTCAATGACCGCATACTCTGCACCAACTCTTAGAGGAGTCGCATTAGAGAACGAGGAACACAGCCAATCGAACACGTCATCGAAACAGGCTCGAATGACGACTCTACGATCATCAGGGGGCCCACAACGCGGTCGTAACACCGAGGACATGATCGTATCGAGAACAGAGAACAAAAAGAAAAGTTTCCCTACCCTCCACGACTTAGATACCAGAAGCCTGCCACCCCGTAACGGTATCTCCTCAAACCAGCCTCTTTCCCCACGTCGTCTAAACGCTACACTGCGGACGTAACACGAACACGAGTCGTCAACACCCTTACGAACACCCGCGAGACGTACCGGCGAACAGCATCGACAGATTGGTGAACGCCGTGGTGCGTGGTAGTTCAGCGGCGGTGGTCCCGCTGCTCTTGAGGTCCAGCATCTCGCAGTCCCGTGTCCCAGCGGCCGTTGGATGCACGGCGG